AGCAGGCATGAGAGCTGGTACATCACACATACAGCACACACACACTTTCCTTATGTTCATGGGAGACACGTTTGAGGTCCCACCACCATGTTTGAATAGCGGGGTTGGGGCAAGGTGTTCAGATGAAGCGCTGTGTCCTCTCCAGGCAGCCATGACACCATGACCTACTGCCTGAACAAGAAATCTCCGATTGCCCCCGACCAGTCCAAGGTTCTGCAGATCCTCAGCAAGGTGCTGCCCTGTATCACCCGCCCCGTGGTGCTCAAGTGGTCCATCACTCAGGTAGGGTGGCTCTGCAGAGCTCACCTGGTGGGGAGGTGGGCCCCAGCTGCTTACTCCCTGGGTAGGCCATTGGCACACCTCTAGAGAGCTGGGACTTACAGGAACAGGGGGTGGGTGGGATGCTGTAAAGATGAGGGGTACTGCTGAATGCTCCGGGCCAGGGAGTGGGCACCACTTCTGGCTGTGCACAAGCAGGTCCGGGGGTCAGCTATGGGGGAGAGGGTGGAGCAGGCACCACGTCCCAAGAAATAACCAGGCGGGAGCATAGAGTCATTTTGTTTTCCTTTATTTTTACGTGATTTTGCACTTTTTCTATTACTGGTTAGTGAGATGAACAGTCCTGTTTTCTTTTTCTCAGTTCTAGCTTTATATTGGGGTAGTTTGAACTACCACAAGGTTGGTAGTTCAAGACCCTCAGCCACTCATTGGAAAACCGTATCCAGGGTCAGTATGGGTTGGCACTGACTCGATGGCACTTAACAACAACAACAGCACGTCTGTATTAAGGGGTCCTGCTGACGATGTACGTTAAGCACTTATCAGCGGTTCAAACCCACCAGCTGCTCTGTGGGAGAAAGATGAGGCTTTCTGCTCCTGTAAAGTTTGCAGCCTGGGAAGCCTCATGCAGGGTGATCGCAGTGTGCTCTTTGATGCCGTGGGTTAAGTGCTGGACTGCTAACTGAAAGGTCTGTGGTTCAAACCCACCATCTCCACAGGAGAAAGATGTGCCAGTCTGTTTCCGTAAGGGTTTAAAGTCTTGAAAACCCTATGGGAACATTCTATTCTGTCCTATAGGATCTTCATGAGCCAGAACCGCCTTAACAGCTGTGGGGTTTTGTGTGTGTGTGTGTGTGTGTGTGTGTGTGTGTGTGTGTGGTGGGGCTGGGGGTGCTGTCCAGTCACCATGATGTCCTGGGTTAGGGGATCCTGCTCTGGGTTGCTGAGAACCTTTTGCGAGGTTTTGAATTCCAGGGATCCCTTCTCCACTGGTGACAGTGAGAGTAAGCTGGGGGGGTCTCTGTAGCGATGGCCCAAGATCTGTCTGGGGAACACGGACTGCAGGGACACAGCCAGCAGGTCCGGTGGTAAACGTGCCAAGTGTCACCCAAGGGTGGACCCCCATGGGCCGAAGCTGCTCACAGGCTGTGTCCTGTCAGTGGTCAGACATTCTGCCGGACAGTGACCAGGCCCGGGAGAGTCTAAGCCTGTTGTCTGCAGGCGCTGAATGTGACGGAGCAGCTGGACGCGGGGGTCCGGTACCTGGACCTGCGGGTGGCGCACATGGCGGAGGGCTCTGAGAAGAACTTGCACTTTGTACACATGGTCTACACGACGGCGCTGGTGGAGGTGAGGGGCGGGGATGACAGGAAGTGGTGGGGAAGACCGGGCGGGGGGGGGGAGGGCGCGGGGACAACAGGAGCCTGGCTAGTACTGACAGCGACGACATTGGACATGTGCACATGGTCTACAAGACCACGCTTAAGGGGGGATGGGGAGCAGGAGGGGAAGGGGAAGAGCGCAGGAGGAGGGGAGCAGGGCTGGAAGGCATGGGGTTAGGAGGGCCTAGAAGTAACAGGGATGTGCTCATGGTCTATTGGCCAGAGCATAAGGTGAGGGTCGGAGCCGGTGAGGAAAGGGGGTCAGAGGTCAGAGCGGAGGGGCAGGGCTGGAGGGATGGGTAGGGGCACCAGAGGGATAGGGTGAGGGGCGGAAGGGGCTGGTGTCTATGGGGGGCCCTGGCCATCAGCCCAAACCCTGAGATAAGTTGTCGCAGGCCGTGGACGTCTCCCCCGGGGGTCAGTGGGACAATCACCCGGAGTGTCCGTGCCGTCTGCATGCAGGAACAGTCAAATGTATGCACATGAACAAGTAGTGTGTGGTGTGTTAGGTGTGTGTATGCACATGTGTGGTGTGTGTTCATGATGTGGCTGCGTGTGTATGTACAGATCCACATACACCCTTAGGGCTGAGGCTGTGGCTGGAAGGGGGCGCACAGAACACCTTCTGTAAATATACCAACATGTGCCAATTTGAACCCAACATCCATCCTGTCATCCACGGTGGGTACAGAGTCCTGGTGTGGAGGACCACAAGGTCAGTGGTTCAAACCGACCAGCTGCTCCTTGGAAACCTTATACAGGGTTGCTATGGGTTAGAACCGACTTGATGGCACCTAACAATACATACACACACACACTAATAGGTTCATTCAGCACATCTACACATTCATACAGCATATACATACACGCACACACATACATGTTCACATAGCACACATTCATGCACACAAACACACTGACTCACAGCCATATAGCGCTTCCCTACACACATACATATACACACAGACTGACATGTTCATGTACCACAAACATGGATGCACACGTGTACACATACAAACACACTTCACGTATCTACAGGCACACATATATGCAGATCCACGGGCCTGTGTGTGCACACTCACACCTCACCCCTCCCCAGCCATCACAGGTTTGCAAAGGGGGTGTTGCTGGCCCTCTGTGACTTCCCCACGTCCATCTGTCCTCAGGACTGGACCCATCTGGAGTGAACTTGTGTTCACGCGGTAGAGGAGGTTCCTGGGAGTGTGGGGGTACTGCATTCTCTGGACCCTCTCCCTCCCCCCTCCCCAGGACACCCTGACAGAGATCTCTGAGTGGCTGGAGAGTCACCCCCGGGAGGTGGTCATCCTGGCCTGTAGGAATTTCGAGGGCATGACTGACGACCTACATGAATATCTGGTCTCCTGCATCAAGAACATCTTCGGGGACCTACTGTGCCCACGAGGGGTAAGCCGGGGCCAGCCCACCCTTCCTACACTGGGCAGCTGGGGCTCACTGTGGGACCAGCAGCCTCCTGTGGGGTGACCCCATTCACCTGTGAGCATCAGCCAGGTTCTGGGTCTCTATGAGGAGGGGCAGCTGGCTGGCCCGGCATGGACTCTGCTTGGCGTGAACAGGGGTTGGCCCTGAGACACGGGTGGACACAACCATGTGGACCAGCGGATGGACTGCTTCTTCACACTCAAGGCTTGTGCAGTGGGTCCTGGTAAAATCTCGTTAAGTGCCTAACCGCTAATGGTTACGGTTGGAACCCTGCCATGGTATCGGGGCCCAAAGACCTGGGGTGCCCTACTGTTGTAAAGATGACAGTTAAGACAGCGGTCCGTGGCACAGTTCCACTCTGTAAAATGAGGGGCACCATGAGTGGGGAGCCACTGGATGCAGTGGGTTTGGCTTTTGGTCTGAAAACTGTTAGAAACTGGCTCAGCCCTTAGGTGCACCACATGCTGGGCACTGTAGGTCTGTGGAAACGTCTCATTCTGATGGTGATGACCTCCCTCTCCAACACCAGTCAGGCTTCACTGTGGACTCTCCAAGGGGTTTGCAGATAGCCAGCCCTTTCTTCTGAGGTGCTTCGGGGTGAACCTGAACCTTCAGTCGTTTGGTGAGCAGACCAATGTGTCCATTTGCATCACATGAGGACACCATCCGATTTCTAGGGAGCCTGAGAAGTTCAGCCCATGCCCACTCCCGGTTGAATGTTAATTGCAGATCTTATATACTTGGCAAATGTTCAATAACGTTCTGTAACATGAACGGAGAGAAATCTAGTCCCAAGACTCTTGCTGAGAAAAGGGGAGGGTAGAGCTGAAAATGACACACTTAGTGCTCCCATCAGAGACAAAGTAATCAGGAGCTATCTTGTTGACTCAGATGCCTGGTGCCCCATGTGTGTCAGAGTAGAACTGTGCCCACAGGGTTCTCAGTGGATGATTTTTCATAAGTAGATCCTACTCATGGTGTCCCCATGTGTGTGTCAGAGTAGAACTGTGCCCCACAGGGTTCTCAGTGGATGATTTTTCATAAGTAGATTCCACTCATGGTGTCCCCATGTGTGAGTCAGAGTAGAACTGTGCTCCACAGAGTTCTCAGTGGATGATGTTTCATAAGTAGATCCCACTCATGGTGTCCCCATGTGTGTGTCAGAGTAGAACTGTGCCCCACAGGGTTCTCAGTGGATGATGTTTCATAGGTAGATACCACTCATGGTGCCTTGTGTGTCAGAGTAGAACTGTGCCCCACAGGGTTCTCAGTCGATGATTTTTCATAAGTAGATCCCACTCATGGTGCCCCCGTGTGTGTCAGAGTAGAGCTGTACCCACAGGGTTCTCAGTGGATGATTTTTCATAAGTAGATCCCACTCATGGTGCCCCGTGTGTGTCCGAGGAGATCTGTGAGGGTTCTCAGTGGCTGGTTTTTCTGTAGTAGAGAGTCAGACCTTTCTTCTGCTATACCTCACGGTGCACTTGAATCTCTGCCCTGTGACTATCAGGTGAGCAGCTAGTCTGCATTCACCATCTAGTGATGTCTTGCTCTAGGGCGTACCATCAGTATTCCAGGGTCTTTGGTAATGGACTGATGTTTCTAGTGTAGGGGCTGGGGATGTGACTCATGGTTCTGAGAGTGAGTGCCTGGGTGGCCTTAGTGCTGGGTGATCGTAGACGTGTGGTTTGAACTGTCCGCCTGGAGTCAGGCAGGGCCCTTCTCATAGGGAGTCCTGTGGGCTGGGGTGGACTGGCGTCCATCACTTTCCTGCCCCTCCCCCACATTCCTGCTACCCCCACATTGCCAACCTCTCCCCCTCTTTCTGATGCCTCCTTCCACGTCCCAGTTCCAGACCCCCACTTTCCTTGCACTTTCTGGGACTGCCCCCCATCTTCCCGTTCAGCCCATCCCGTGCCCCACTGCAGCCTCCCTTCCCTCCCTTCACCCTAACGCCACTCTCCCCAGGAGGTGCCCACGCTGCGGCAGCTGTGGGCGTCCTGTCGCCAGGTGGTCGTGTCGTACGAGGACGAGGGCTCGGTGAGCAGACACGCAGAGCTGTGGCCTGCCATCCCGTACTGGTGGGGGGACAAGGTGAAGACCGGCGACCTCATCTCTTACCTGGAGTCCATGAAGAGCAGAGGGCGCCCAGGTAGGTCCCGTGTGCTGTGAGCTCAGGTGCGTGTGAAATGCCGCACACACGAGCTGGGCTGGTTTCTAGGTTTGCTTTGAGTTGTTGTTATATTGATTACTTTTTCTTTTTAACAAGCAAACCAAAACAAAGCCAAACCCACTGCCCACGAGTGGATTCGAACTCACGGGGCCCTGTGGAACAGTAGGGAACTTCTCCGGAGGAGTCAGCTCCAACCATCAGTCCTGCAAACAGCTCGCCAGCACTTAACCCACTCATGCCCCAGGGCTTTTGTTCTTTTTACGACAAATATGATTTTGTTTATTTTTGTTGTGGCAAAAACAGCTACAAGTATTTGCCATTTGGGCCTTCTTTACTGTGCCATTTAGTGGCATTTAGGGCATCCACAATGTTGTATAACCACCTGCATTTACAGGTTTTCATCACCCTAAAGGGTAACCTCAGAATCCTGGGATGGCGCTGTGGGCTAATTAATGCATCCGACTGCAGAGCCATCTGAACTGCAAGGTCAGCGGTTCAAGCTCACTAGCTGCTCCTTGGAAACCCTATACAGGGTCAGATGGAAGCGATGGGACAGTACTTGACAGCAGTCTTTAGGGAGGACCCGAGCGGCCCAGGGGGGACGTTTGGCTGCTAATCAAAAGGTGGGTGCTTGAACCCGCCAGCCACTGTGTCTGCAATAAGCTTGGTTGGAGACTGAGAGGTTTGGAAACGGCAGTGGGCAGTAGATGGCGGGTCTCGGGAACCCGGTGGGGAACTGCTCTGTCCTATGGGGTCACTATGAGGACCTGGAATGGACTTTACAGCACTGGGGTGTTGGTGTCGTTTTGGGCTTTAATTTCAATCTTTATAGAAACAGAGCAGCATGCCTTTCTCTGTAGATCCGCTGGGGAGATTTGAACCACTGACCTTTTCATTAGCAGCAAAGCACTTAATCATTGCACCACCAAGGCTCGTATTGAACATGTTAAAAAAACAAACCCCACCACAAAACCCACTGCCCTCGAGCCCAGTTCGACTCACAGAACCCTTACTTAGGGTTTCAGAGACTAAATTTTTATGGAAACAAACATCTCACATGCACTCACTAGTGGGTTTGAACTGCTGACCCTCCAGCCGGCAGCCCAACGCTTAACCCACAGCTCCACCAGGGCTGTGGAAAAACACACAAACCCACTTCCACTGAGCTCCGTGCTGGCAGGATTTTGTTGGCTCTGTTCAGAAATCTAACACAACAACAAAGCAAACCGAGACGTGCAAGCTCAGGAGGATTTGGGGGTGACGGACACGAGACACACCCCTAACCCTCTGCATCCTCACTTTCCAGATGGGCTGTTTGTGGCAGGCATCAACCTCACGGAGAACCTGGGTTACGTGCTCGTGCACCCGTCCAAATCCCTGAAGACCATGACGCTGCCCAACCTCCCATACCTGGCCGCCTGGGTCCGTGAGCAGTGCCCGGGGCCCGGCTCCCGCTGCACCAACATCATTGCGGGAGACTTCATCGGTGCAGACCATTTCGCGGGCGACGTCATAAGGCTGAACGACAAACTGCTGAGGTGCTGACCTCAGTCACCACACCCTTTGTGGAGAAGTGTCCGCGAGCGGCCCCAGACCTGAACCTCAGTCTTACAAGGGTGGTGCGGGATTTCTGAGTCCAGCTCGTGGGTGCACTGGAGGGCTCCCCTCAGACCTACAGACAGGGCACCGCTTTTGTGATCAAAGGCCTTGAGAACAATGGGTTTCCTGTGGGGTCTTCCTGCACCCTCGACAAGGAGCCCTCTTCTCTCCAGTTTCTCCTCCAGGACAGATGGTGATGAACGACGGGGAAGGAAGGAGGACTTGTAACGTAGGCTTCCACCTTTCTGAGGGCCCCTCACCTGTGCTGTGTTTCTGAGGAGGGCGGGCTCACCAGCCCACCTCATTTGGGTGGCTTGAGAACAGCACAAGAGCCGTGGGACAGCTTCAAGGAACTGCTGTCGCGTCGAGTGCTCTGAGATTATTTTACTGGTCAGATAGGAGTGAGGGCGTCCAGATTGTAATGAGAACATTTTTTAATAACCAAAACAATGAAGACTAATCCAAGAAAATCACACTGCCATAGCACAACAGCCTTGCGAGGGGCTGCTGATTTTACTTCAGGTGTTAACATGTAAGAGATCTTAATGGGTTGGTTGAGGAGTTTACTACACAGCGGGAAATGATTGGCGGTGTTCGAACGGTACCGGTACCTTCCCACTTCCCAGATGTCTCCCTGGGCTGTGTTCTTCACACGGGGTAGGAATCACACCGTACAGCGGGCCCCCTCCGTGCCCAGGCTGGGACCTGGCTGTTATGGGCTGTCTCCCTTCTCACAGATGCCCTTTGGACACTGTGCACACCTTCACATACGGCAGGTACACAGGTGGGGTAGGTATGACACACACACGGCGGGACCTGCTCCATGCCCAGGCTGGAATCTTGTTGCAAGTTCTCAAGCTCTTATCCTCGTAACCTCCCCCATGGACTCTGTCACCTGGCCACTTCTAATAAGGTTCCCAGACCCCCGACACTCTCTCTGCTGAGGGTCAGGTGTGGTGGCTGCCCCACAGC